GAGTAAATGTCTGGGACAAATTTTTCTGTAACCTTTTTCCATTTAAGCCATACAACATCTGCAATTCCATACCACCACACGGGCGTTTTATTTGGTTATTTCAAATTCATATTTTCAATGGCTGTCTCTTTTTTCAAAAATATTTTATTTTAAGTCTCTAACACTGTTATCAGTCCAACATTTGAGTCGAAAAATGCGAGCGTATTGACTCTAGTTGAAATAGTTTATAGTCATGAGATAATTTTGGAATTATATGCTGTTATAATCAATACATTGGGATCTTTTTTATATTATTAGGATCCACTTGGCTTAAACGGATTTATTACCTGCACTCTCTCACTCTTTCTCTGTATATATATATATATATATATATATATATATATATATATATATATATATATATATATATTCAAAAAATTTTTATGATCAAGCTTCATCTAATAGGTTGAAATCCACAAATATGACATAAAGCTGGTTGATTGAGTCTGGGAATACAACGAGCGGTATGGCATGAGTCCTTGTATGAGCTGGAGCATGATAAGGAAGGTAAAACCCGGCAGTATTCATGATAACTATTGTTGGCTGTGCCAGGAAGACATATTGGTCATTTCCACGTATGGTGATAAAGATGTTTTACTAAGACAGAGAATGGATATTATTATAGATAGATAGAAATGACCAGACTCAGATAGATAGATAGATAGATAGATAGATAGATAGATAGATAGATTAAACAGACAGAATGATATTATGTCTGCGTGCAAGCATTTAAGAAGATATTTTTTTAGGTATATATGAACGCAGATGAGTGTTCTCGTATATTGCTTGAGAACAAACTGTCGAAACCCGCATTGCGAGGTAGACTGGCGTTTTAGTCATTTCATTTATATATATATATATATAATATGTCAAAAGAAAATAGTTCCCATTACTGATGATGACTGGAGAATCTGTCGAAAGAACTTGTATATTTAAGGAAGACTTAATAAAGTTTATAATTTTAAAAACAAGGATCGTTTCGTTAGTAGTCTAATGCAGTTTTAAAATTTAGTTTGAGAAGGGAATTCGCTATTTTATCTCATTAACTTTACTAATTTACCTTTTCTATGAATGATTCAGCGTAATATATATATATATATATATATATATATATATATATATATATATATATATATATATCAGTAAGTTTTGCATAAGGTATATTTAGGCAAGAAGAATTCATTTTTTATTAAATCCCAACGACAAAATTGGAATAGTCAGGCTTTTTATTATACGTTTACAATTTTCGAGTGACGCCTTCTACATCGCAGTTGGAGTTATAAATAAATATAAATATTTTTTGTTATAATCAGATATTTTCCACTGTAGCATTCATTGGCAAGAACGGGGGTTTTTTCAGTATAGTATGCAAGGTTTGTTTTATTAAATTCTAGTGTTTTTAGATTGCTTGCATATGTATCACTTCAGGTGACCTCATGTGTAATGGTTAAACTCAAATAGCAGATAGATAGATAGATAGATAGATTGAGATTGATATATATGATTTGATAGAGAGATATTAATAGCTTGCGATAGATATGAATAAATTGAGATAGATAGATAGATAGATAGATAGATAGATAGATAGATAGATATAAATGAACAGGCTCAGATAGATAGATAGATAGATAGATAGATAGATAGATAGATAGATAGATAGATTAAACAGACAGAATGATATTTAGCGATATGGGGATATAGAGATACAGTTAGATACTTATGAAAATATATCATGAAAAGTTATGGTGTATATCTGCAAACAGATAGATAGACAGATAGACAGATAGATAGATAGATATAGTAATAGACGAAAAGACTGGTAGAGATATGGAGATCTGGATAGGCAAATATATCTTGAAAAGGTATGATATATCTGAGCAAACAGATATATATATATATATATATATATATATATATATATATATATATATATATATATATATACCAAAAGTATATAATTGGTATACACGAATGAATTCAATAACCAACAATTACTATTCTTAAAAGAGTGCTCGATACAAAGTAGAGCAGATATAATTATTTTATAAAAAATTATAACATATGTTATAAAATCACTACAAAATAGCCATTTTGTGTCAACACACTCTGTGTCTTAAGACATGATGTTGAAAAAATGGCTTATTTTTCTAGTTGAAAACATAATTTATGTTATAATTTTTATAAAAATAATTTTATATATATATATATATATATATATATATATATATATATATATATATATATATATATATATATATATATATATATATATATATATATATATATATATATATATATATATAGATAGATAGATAGATACATAAACAAACTAATTGAAACTGCTTTTCGCCTCAAATTTGTGTTCTTTTATAAGTATTATTTTTACATAATTCTTTTCCCTTTTAACCCTTTTACGTCCATTCTTTTTCTGTCTTCTTTTCTGCGGTGATTGAAGAAATGAGAAATCATGATTTTCAGTTGAATGTCCAAATGCCATTCAGTGGAATTGTTCCACGATTCAGTATCACTGGGTACACTCTCCCTCAGTGTTATTTTACATTTTTCCTAAGAATTTCTTCATGGTTCAGGTGTTTTCAAAAAGAAAAAAGGCGACGATACACTGCGTGCCTTCCTTTCTCAGTTCAGTCTGACTGTTATATAAATCCTGTCTACCTTTTTACTTTCTCGTTTCTCTTAATCTGTTAGCGATATAATATCGCTCTCGCAAGGTCGCGACTAGATGAACAATTTCATTTTTCATCTTCACTTTCATGACTGCGTATTTTGTCTGATCCGCTTGTGTTCTTTATTTTTACGCACCAGCGTGGCCTTTTTACTCGTTCGCAACGGAAAGGGGTCATATTTTACGGTCACATATCTCACTGGCGATCGCCCGTACAAGACCGATTATAAAAAGAATATCTTTCCTCTGGTCTTTTTATGATCATAATTCCAGTAACTTGCTTTCTGAACCGGCCCTGACCCGGTACTCTCACTCTTCCAAACTTTAATACCACGAAAACACACGGCGTAACTTTCACTCGTCAAATGCCTTCTCTCGTACACACCAAGATCTATTCTTGAAATCGGCCGACCTTGACGAGTTTTGACGCCAAAGTCATGCGCATTCAAAGCTTTATATTCTCTCTATTTATTTACATCAACAACGTTCAGAAAACATCATCCCTCTGAGTTATATTCCACATCCCACCCTTTTCAGGAAAATAACTTTCCATTCGTTCACCGATGCCGGTTGGATAGCTTTGTGTGGAAAGCTATTCGCCGTCTGCTTTTCGGATTCCCCTTAAAGTGTATATAATCACATCGTTGATGCTTTTACAAGTGATACCGACAGGGAACAAGTTAATCTTTACTGCGAGGTCAAACAATATCGCAAGGGCGACGGCTTTTCGCATATTAAGTTTGTGCAGCGGGATTTCAATGCGGACATTGTAACTGTTTTCCAACCAAAGAAATAAATTCGGGTATGTTTTGGCGGATATGTTGTGAACGCTGAAAGTGGTGTCGGACAAACAAACCGGAGAGAATTCGTTGGGATGTGAAGGAACCGCTGACGTCCTTTTGTCTTGTCTCGATAATCTTTCGATTCCAACCTTTTGGGCGACTGACCATCGCATAGATGTCTTCGGATCGAATACTGTGTTGATAAAATATCTGAACTGCACAAAGGGACAAAAGGGTTGCGGTATTGTCTCACATTGCTGCAGTGGGATAACGAATATATAATTCGTATAATGAAGTTATCTATAGTTAGTATATATATATATATATATATATATATATATATATATATATATATATATATATATATTTGTTTATATGTGTTTACGTGTTCATTATGTCTGTATACAGACAGACATAATGAACACGCAAACACACCTCGTCTGGTTGAAATGAATTTCACTGTATCCTTGGAAATGTGAATTATGATTTTTGCTGTCTTTAAAACCCAGTAATTTTAAAATTTACTCAAAAATTTGCTTGAGAATGAAATGGAAATAATGTCTTTAATTTAATTACAAAATTAAATTCAGACCTTGCATTTTTTGAAAAATGGTTAGAACTGTATAGCGGAAAAAACATATTTTAAATCAATTAATTTATAATATTAATGCTCTGTAAATTTACATTGAGCACTATTTTGTAAAATAAAAATATCTAAAAGAACACCGGATTATATATCTTAATATTTCTTTCTTTATATATATATATATATATATATATATATATATATATATATATATATATATATATATATATATATATAATCGACTCTCCCGTCGCGTTCGACGTATGAGGGTCAGGCCGATAAGTCCCCAGGAAATCGACGTCCCGACACCGGCACATGAGATTTGTTTATAGTGGTGAAGGCCTTGTGCAGGACCAGCCACACTTTTGGAGGGACGAATATATATATATATATATATATATATATATATATATATATATTTTAAGTAACTCTCATATATATATATGTTTAAGTAACTCTCATCTTTTTTTTCTTTATTTCATTTTAATGCCATACCCCTTCATAACATAAGGCGATCATGGCTCTCCACAGATTCTTCTTTCTTTTAAATCTGTGTATTGATATAATTTTTGAAGTTATGATACTGGAGTCGTTTCGCGAGGCATTCTGTACGGTTTTAATTCACTGTTTTGTTTTCTCATAGACTGGATAGATAGATAGATAGATAGATAGATAGATATGAACAGAATGTAGATAGAATTTGAGAGGCAAATCTTAACACATAGCCGTTGGGAGTAATGACTGATTCAGACTTTTCCCGAATGATTTTTTTGCGTAAGTGAACTCAAAAGCCTACGGAATTTGAACTGTTTCCTTGATAACATCTTCCACAGTGATATCTACAACACCCTTCTTAATTCCGTTATAGGCTTTTACTTATCTTTATATCAATCAGAATTAAAAAGGTCATAAACACACCTACATACTTGACACTAATTAACTTACGGTCAGAGAAACAACGGTTCTTCTACGGTCATGTTGGTTAAACAACGTTGAAACAAATCAGTACCTATATAGGTAACTGTTTAGTAATACCAGATACTATAAACTTGATGTGTAGATGGTGAAATGGATAAAAGATGTGAATTGTTAATCAGAGAGCCGAGTTCAAATTTTCATTGCGGTCGTTATATAACATTACGCGAAAATACCCTTGCCACAGATTTGAATTCACATCATCTTTCCCCAGCTATGGGTTAGTTACTAAGACACGTATCATTAAACCATTATTATATCGGCCCACAAAATAATTCTTACGCTGTAAAAATATATTCTGTTATTAAATAACGTGGAAGGAATCGATAATCCGTAGAAAACGAATAACTTAATTTATATCAATCCATTTTTATCTTTCTTTTCTGGGTTGCTAATATCTGTCATTTTTTCTTTTCTTTTTTTTTTTTTTTTAAATAGCAAGCCACTAAAAGACAAGGGGTTGCAGCATGTGAAAGAATTAAGAACAGAATCATTAATAATGAGCAGGAAGAAGAAAGGGTACTCAGGAGGTTAGGTAGATAGTGGATCACATTGAATTTTAAGTAGGCTGGAAAGCATGGAAACGGAATGGAGTTCGACATGAAGTGCGAGAAAAGAAACAGTTAGCATGGAACTGTAAATTGATGAAATCTCGAGGTCTTGGTAACATAGAGAAGAGACCATCCAATCAATTACTATAACATTATAAAAATGACACAAAGAGACAACTAATAGGAAAGGGAAAGTGATTAAATTCTATCTGCCAGATCAGCACAGATAATATTGCTGATTTTTCTTAAGATTTTATCAAGGATCTCAAGGTAAAGAAATCTATCTATCTATCTATCTATCTATCTATCTATCTATCTATCTATATATATATATATATATATATATATATATATATATATATGTATGTATGTATGTATATATATTTGATTGGTAGAGAGTGACAAATGTATATTTTACAATTTTTTTCTTATCTGTCTCCGTTTCTTCATCGAGTTTCACTATTTTGATTTTTATCTAAGATTTCATTTGCAAAATGACGGCAAGACATATCTGAACAGTTACGATGAAACCAATCGATCTCAATGCAGCTTCTTTCTTTTTCTATCTATCTATCTATCTATCTATCTATCTATCTATCTATCTATCTATCTATCTATCTACATTCTGTTCATATCTATCTATCTATCTATCTATCTATCTATCTATCTATCTATCTACTTCAGTCTGTTCATATCTATCTATCTATCTATCTACATTTTGTTCATATCTATCTATCTATCTATCTATCTATCTATCTATCTATTTCAGTCTGTTCATATCTATCTATCTATCTATCTATCTATCTATCTATCTATCTATTTCAGTCTGTTCATATCTATCTATCTATCTATCTATCTATCTATCTTTCTACTTCAGTCTGTTCCTATCTATCTATCTATCTATCTAACTATCTATCTATCTACTTCAGTCTGTTCATATCTATCTATCTATCTATCTATCTATCTATCTATCTATCTATCTATCTATCTATCTCAGCCTGACCATATATTTTTATCTCTTCCGTACAGTTCATATCTTTTTTAACATTTGAAAAACTTAAATTTGTGAAATGCACAAAAATATAAACATTGTAGTTTAAAAATACAGTAATAATAAATTTTATCACTCATTCCCTAATATATTTTTTTAAGTCAAATAGTGTATTTCCCGCAGGAAGCACCGATGTTTATGCAAGTCCGAATAGAACGACGATAGAGCAGAACAGTGATTAAGGACAATCACTGTTATTAACTGAATTTTGATCTGAAGTTTTCATTGTATAATATTATATACATGTGGTTTCAATAACTTTGAAATGCGTTGTAAGGTTGTTTGACGCGAAAATAGAAAAACAGTTTTTTCAATTGGTAGACAACGTCGGACATTTGAAAAAGTTCTTTGATTAAGCTTGACCATTCCGATCTAAGCTTGACCATTCCGATCTAAGCTTGACCATTCCGATCTAAGCTTGACCATTCCGATCTAAGCTTGCTCAGTGAAGATCGTCTTTAGTTAAGGATTTATTTTGATGATCTGTATTACTCATCAAGATAAATTTGTCTTTCCTGGGCCACGACACTTTTAAACGTTGTATCAGCAGAGTAAGGTTTGATAGCACACAATAGCGGGCCAAAAGTCACTAAATATATAGATAAATCCAGGAAGACGTCTTTTGAATATATATATTTAACGTCCTACCAATAAAGGACCAGACGGATGAAAGGAAATCATTCTAGGCCACTGCCGAAAACCAAACTTGCTAGTTGATGTAGGCCGATGATTTGGCTTTGTATTATTGTTAGTAAAGTAGTGGGCTGTTTTCGACATTGAGATCATAGCGGGTTGACATCTGGGGCATACATCGATTTTTGAAGGCAATTTTGATTGGTTGGTTGGGTTTTATGGCATATCAACCACTGTAGGTCAGTTAATACCAAACTTAGTTATATATATATATATATATATATATATATATATATATATATATATATATATATATATACACAAGCTGGCAAGATTATTTTTTCAAAAACGTATAGCTGGCAACATTATTTTTCTAAAAACGTAGAGCTGTCAACATCATTTTTCTAAAAACATATAGCTGGCAACATTATTTTTCTAAAAACGTATAGCTGGCAACATTATTTTTTCAAAAACATATAGCTGTCAACATTATTTATTCCAAAAACGTACAGCTGGGAACATTATATTTCTAAAAACTTATAGCTGGCAACATTATATTTCTAAAAACTTATAGCTGGCAACATTATTTTTTCTAAAAACGTATAGCTGGCAACATTATTTTTCTAAAAACATATAGCTGGCAACATTATTTATTCCAAAACGTATAGCTGGCAACATTATTTTTCCAAAAACGTATAGCTGGCAACATTATTTTTCTAAAAACGTATAGCTGGCAACATTATTTTTTCTAAAAACGTATAGCTGGCAACATTATTTTCTCAAAAATATTATCAGAGGCCTTGCTGTTGGATGTAGTTTATCGCCATACCCAGGACGCGGATGTAGTTTATCGCCATACCCAGGACGTGGGTAAGTTCTAGAAAAAACTGGGAGTTCTCTGTTTGCCCATAGCTGGGACCCTTAACCTGGGAACTAAGAGGTGGTTTCACGCTCCTCAAAACCTCCTGATCAGAGGCCTTACTGTTGGATGTAGTTTAACGTCATACCCAGGACGAGGGCAATTTTGGATCGTTGTTCATCATTCAAACGTTGACAATTGAGGCATATATTGATTTTTGAAAGCACATCTATGGCCAAGAAATCAAACCTTTTACAGAAAGTTGGATTTGTTGTAAGTTGATTTTTAAACTAACTACATTCAGAGAAAGATACTAATTAACAGCTGCATAAAACTGGTATGAAATCAGTCATCGACTGATTTGTTGGAAAATTTGAAAAATAATATTACATTGTCTAGTAAATACAAATATTGGGATGCTACAATGGATTCTGAGCAGTCTTTTTAATATGAACAACAGTTAAAAAAATTGATGGAGGATGTCTTTTAAACCTCGTTTGATAACATGGTGTAAACATTGTTATCACTATGGCAAAATGTCAGTTTCGGATCCAGAACATTAATCTTCGTAAATTTTATACACGTTTTGCAATAAAAAAGTGACTCTATCAGAATATGTAATATGTCGATTTATTTGGAAAATCCACTGAAATTCATAAAGCTGATGCCGTCTCCTGATTTATATGTATTCCAACACAACACGCGAACGATCAGACATTATAATCCAAATAATTCAGCTATGGTGGCACGGTGGTGTAATGAATTGCGGTACGTATCGAGAAAACGATGAGCCAATTTCGAAATCCAGTCGAGTTTATTCGATTCCTTCACGTGCTAATAACATTCGGAAACACCCCTCTTCCAAGGAAAGACTAGGATCTATTGTTTAGTTCGCGACCGGTCAAGGTGAAAGAAATTCAGAATTAAAAAAACAAAAAAAACTATGAATATATAGTAAGGCAGACAGTTTTCAAAAGTCTTGGCTGGCAACCGGTCTAGGAGAAAGAAGCACTGAATTAAAAAAAAACAAAAAAAATCTCCAGCTATCGATAAAGGGCAGGGCATACTAGGTTTCTACACACTTTGGTGGCAACCGATCTAAGAGAAGGAAATAAAGAATTCAAACCTTTCAAATATGAGGTAATAGAAGGTCAGTCAGAGCCCCGTATCTATGGTTGGTAACCGAACTGGGAGAAACTCCGAATTCTTAGACAGCCTCATTAGTGTCGAGTGGAGAGACGTGGTGGATGGGCGGGCAACTGCAGACCTCTCATAAAAGAAGCCTGTACAGGCATGCAATCTGGACAGGGAATAACACTTCAGTCGCAAATGCATAACATCTCAAGACAGACAGATATTAAAAATTTCAACAAGTCCTATATATATATATATATATATATATATATATATATATATATATATATATATATATATATATATAAAAAGTGTACATTGAAAATCAACACTCAGAGGCGACAGGCTGTTTCATGCTAGACGCTATTTTCTGACCGGCGATTGCGGCCAGACGATTATGTCTAGCATGAAACAGTCTGTCGCCTCTGAGTGTTGATTTCTATATTCAACATATTGAACATACGCTCTATCTCTGATATTGAGCACTTTATCCCATGAATATATCACACCTTAAAAGTATATTTCTTCTCATATATATATATATATATATATATATATATATATATATATATATATATATATATATATATATATAATTTATACACACACACACACACACACACACACATATATATACATACATATATATATATATATATATATATATCAGCAGTAATTATAATTACAAAGAAGTTTGTATGAATATG